TTTTTGCATAATATCCGCCACTTCTTTAGCACTCCGACTTAGACCAATCGCTGTGTGCAGAGGAGAAATCCACTTTCCACATTGTGGATGCTGTTCACGTGTTTGTACATAAGCGTATGACTGGAAGTAAATCGCTATGCTAAAGCCAGTTGATATGCTAGTTTGTCCTCGCGCATTAGTTGGGTACATTGGTTGTGGTGGACAACATAGGCCTTCCAGGTACTCGGACTCGAATCGGTTTTGTGGGCATACCACTCCGCGTTGCGCATCACTATGCGTTTGCGTGTCCTACTCTGTATAAACAATGCCACCTTTCTCGAACTGACAGTCACGGTTTCCGATGCTTCACCAACCAAGGTGTTAAAGTTACTGACGCAACGTTCTGTGTATTCTCGGTTAGGAAACTCCAGTCGGTCGTCTTATCGAGTCGAGTTGAGGTGTCGTAGCTGATTATGTTCCACGTCGTTTGTGTTCTTTCCTCGGGGTATTCGGCATTACAATTGTACATGAAATACAAAGTCGCATGATCACTGTGACCTAGAGGACTATCAATTACCACGCTCTCGAACATGAGTTCTTCATTAGTGAACATCTGGTCCAATATGGATGGCCTGCTATTTCCCATGAATCTGACCATAAAGCGGAAAGTCTGAGACAAGGTCCTTCAGATATGCTTTGATTTGCTCTCCTGGTGTGGCCTGGGATTCTAGAGCACGTAAGTTGAAATCACCAGTGACTAGAACGTGACTGTAGTTTATGTTTATCATCTGCCTCAACGCAGCCACCAAGTTGCAGTCCACCTCAGGTGTAGATGATGGTGGGTGGTAAACAACAGCCACTAGGCCAAGGTCGTTTCTTCTCAGCTGTAAGGTGCAGCAAATGGAGTCAGCTACATCAGTTTCCTAGTGGTGTATATGTTCGCACTGCAGGCTGTTACGAAAGTAGAGGACTACTCCACCACCTTTTCTGGCTCGATCATTCCGGACGACGGACATACCTGTTAGCGCGATTTCGGCATCCATTATCTCACAGTGTAGTCATGTTTGCGTAATAGTGATGAAGTCCCAAACTGCTGACGCATGTCGAAGTCTCAATTCATTAAATTTGCTTAGTAGGCCTTGGACATTTGTGTACATACATGAGAGCCTTTCGGAGACCTAACGTGTGTTGCTTGTGATTGATGAAGCAAGTGAGTTTACGCCGGCGGACACTCGTTTTCTGGATTGATTGCAGGCTGTTGAGACAAATTTGGTAGATATTCAAGTATCAGATGCCCCGGATGCCGGTGGTCGCTCATGCTGTGCTGTGTCCCTTTGGTAGTTATGGCTGTTGTTGAAACCGTCACTAATTCAGGTCCTACAGTGGGTGTTTTCATCGAGATTTGAGCCCCCAATGGGTTATCATCAGAAGGTGGTTTTGTTCCTGCTGCTTCCAGACTAATTTCGGTTGACAGTCTGCTACGGAACTTAGTCCATTTCTCTAGATGAGTTTTGTGCCGTTAGTTCTGATTGGAACACCAGTTGTAACAGCGAGGGACCGCACCCATTGTAGTTAGGCGACATAGGGATACTTGTCAAAGACGTGGCGACGATATTTTCGAGCGAAAGTGCCTCACGGAGATACTGCCATTGCTCCCGGTCGTATACCTGAGCATCGTAGAAGGAAAAATCTGTTAGTTCAGGAACACCGTGAGCAATCACAGTTTTCTTATCTTGACTTTTCTGTTCCTCTCTCTGTTAGTGGGATCCGCTGAACGTTTTTTTCATGTGATTTCAGGTAGTATGCGCACTCCACTTGAAGCGTTGCAGAGTCGATTCGCAGACAGCAGATCGAACTCTGTCTTATCCTCCGAGTTTAGTGTTACCTGAAGTAATCGGGGTTCACCGTAGTGGAATGCTTTTGGATGACGCGAGATGCGTTTTAACCTCGTGGCATCAGCGTGGACACCGATCGCCTTACAGATGGAGCTCCATTGATTTCGATCGTCTGTCAGCCTACCCCTAATTGTATTGGATTTGAATTCGGGGACATTGGTGCTCAGAAGGTTTAAGAGACCATGGTGGCGCTTGGTGGCTACTGATTCTGGAGCCTTAGTTTCCCGTGCTTTTGGTGAATTTGTGAACGGCACTGATGGCAGCCATTCGTGCTGCGACACTTCAGTTTTCTCTAGTCCGGTCACTGAAACTAATGGTACTCACAACAGATGGAGGTGAACTTAGTCCGCAGCTGGCAGATCCTACGCAAGACACTTCCTTCGGAAATACGACTGAAAACAGCGGTTAGAGAATCACAGCCACTCGCTGTCCTTGTGGAAACGACACCACCCGCCACTCAACATATCCACGACAGCGATTCAGTAAACTGTGCGCTAAGACCAGTAGCTATGGAGGAAGCTACCGATGGACTACGTACCGCATGTGCAAATGTGTCCGAAAACAGATTGCATTCATATCGAGACTTGGCACGCAAGTCAAAAAAGGAATAGGTGCCAGCCTATCAACGGTCTGTGTAAATCCGCAACCTTCGGATTCTCCTAGTCAAGAGCTTTTGACACACAAGAAGCTTTCCTATATGTACATCAACGCCCAAGGTTTACTGCATTAACTTTTCGAAATTCGGCTGCGTCAACCATCAAAGGCTTGTGACCTCATTGCTATAACGGAGACATGGTTACGCTTCGACATAAGTGACATCGCGATGGCACTGTCATGCCTTTGTGTCGCTTGCCACGACCGACCCAGAAAAGTTGGAAGGATGGATTTACACTTCCTCAGTGATATCCTAATGAGCCCAGAGAGGATTCGATTAAGATGGTACAGGCTTTCCTTTGGTGTCGTCTACGTTTAAGAGGCAGCGACGCCTGCTTGGTGGCGGTCGTTTACCGTCCACCCTCCTCCACACCCGAAATGGACTTCTATCTGGCATCTTCATTAAGGCGGGTGATAAACGAGAGCTACAGTCACATTCTTAATACCGGCGATTTTGACATCCATGCTCTGGGATCCCAAGCCGTACATGGAGAACAGTTTAATGCGTATCTACCATAGTTCGTCGCCAGTTTCACGTTGTATGACACATTAAAACTCTCAAAAGTCAGAGATACAGATAAGCCATCAATACTGGTTTGGATATTTACCAACGAAGAACTGATGGTCGAGAGGATAATCATTGACTTCTGCTTAGGCCGCAGATAGATCATGTATTCTTACCTTGTGAGTACAGTTGTCATGCAGAATATCCCGTGGAAATCGCCGACGCGTTGAGGACGATCATACATTACTACATACTTCAGCGAAAACGACGGGGTGGGGGAGCTTGTATTGCCACAAGAACCTACAACTGGCAACTCACAAACTCGTACATATATGGACCATTTTTCTTTCCCACGACGCAACGCGGATGAGGACTTGTGTGACGGACCATTTCAGGTACCTACGAGATTGAGCTTCACAACAATCCCTCCAGGTTTCCAGCCCGTATTTCCGCTTTGCTATATACGATTATGGCCAGCCAGGAGCCGTTCGAAAGCTCGCGATTTACTTTCCTTTGACTACATCATTCGGTCCGCGTTCAGTCGTGCGGGCTTCGCTAGAGTCGTATTTGTCTGCTTTATTACGTTTTCGACAAATGCCTCTTCCGCTGTTCTGGGCCCAGGCTCATTAGCAGACGCCGCTCAGGATCCACTGTCGGCTCGATCCGCAACCTTCGCAATGCCTTGTCTCGTCTCATCAATTGCATCCGTTGTTACTTCTCTACTATCTCGTTTTCGTTGTCTTTCTGGTTCACGAGTAGTCACTGGCTTCCGCCGCCCTACAATACTAGCTCGGCTAGGTGGGACAATCAACGGAACCTTTACGGCAAACGGGGCACCGGCTAGCGCATGGGAATATTTCGTCAGGCAGTTTAACACACTGGTAGTCGAAGTAGCAACTACTAAGACCTTCCACTCGAGAAACATGGTTTCGTTTCTGCCAAGAATGACACGCAAGTGTGTGTCAGGGCGAATCTCAGTCTGTCATATCTCTCAACTCTTTCCGAGCACTGAGACCTGGATGGCCTATGTGACCCAACGTAAAGACTGTACTCAACGCGTTCGCGAGGATAAAATGAGGTACCAGCAAAAATTTGCAATACGTTTGGCCGCAAATTACAATCTTCTGTATCAACATATAAGTGCTCTACCTAAGGTGAAACGGGGAATTCCTCCTCCTCAAACAGCGGACGAACTCACACAGACACGGGTGGATGCGGAGAATACGCTGCGCCGGCAATATACTTCAAAATTTCCGTGCGAGCACTGGCCACCTAAACATATGCCAATGCTTGTCTCACCCCAAATACTCACTAATATATCCTTCACGGCTGAAAATGTACTGAAAAGGTTGTTGAGCATGTGTAAACACAGCTCCCCTGGAGTTGGTAATATACCCCCAAAGTTGCGAGCGGCCGCAGCATAGAGCTTAGCTACGCCATTGGCTCGAATCTTTCAACACTGTTTTGACAAAATGTACGTGCCCGACTTCTGGAAATACGGGATGATTATTCCTATTCATAAGGGAGGCAGTCGTTCTGCTCCAACCAAATACTGTTCTGTAACCTTAATACCGGTATTTTTAAATGTCCTGATGAACATTATTGCTGATGCGCTAATGGCCTACTTAAAAGAGTAACTATCTTACACCAGAACAACATGGCGTCTTACGCGATCAATCGTGACTACCGATCTACTACTAGCACGATCCAGCTGGGCTGAAGTAGTTGACTCTGGCACAGGAGTTGATGTTGTCTTTCTCGACTACTTAAAGGCGTGCTACCCGTTAGACCATAACATTCCGCTCTTCAAAATCCAGACCTTTGGTATTGGTGATCCACTCCTAGAATGGATCAGAATCTTTCTTCCACACCGGCGCTTGGAAGTACGAGTGCGTGAATCGCTGTCAGATCACCACTTCATCAGTAATCTAGGGCGGTCGACTCCCTTCTCTCTCCGTGGCTTTGGCATGGCGCTTGAGGACTATGAAGGTTATGTGGACCAGGATGATGATGTCGTTCAGTCGGATGGGTCCATTGATCCCGCGTGGGAACAGCAGCAGAAAAAAACATTTACTGCCTGGTGTAACGCGCATCTACGGAAAGTTAATGAGTCCATCGAGTCCATTGAAAATGATTTCAGAAATGGCCTCAAATTGATGAGGCTTTTGGAAGTCATTTCCGGTGAAACGCTTCCCAAGCCTGATAAAGGAAAAATGAAGTTTCATAAAATCACAAATGTCAACAAAGCTCTCGATTTCATTGAAAGCAAAGGAGTCAAACTAGTATCTATTGGTGCTGAAGAGATCGTCGCTGGGAACGTCAAAATGACTCTGGGGATGATCTGGACAATTATTCTACGATTTGCTATTCAAGACATTCAAATCGAAGATTCTTCTGAGAAAGAGGGTCTACTTCTTTGGTGCCAACGACAAACGGCCCCATACAAAAATGTCAAAGTTGATAACTTTCACACTAGTTTCAAGGATGGACTTGCTTTCTGCGCTATTATCCATAGAAACCGTCCTGAATTAGCAGAGTACGGAAATTTAGAACGGAAAAACGCTTTATACAACCTGAAAAATGCTTTCGAGGTGGCGGAGCGGCATTTAGATACACCGCGCATGCTTGATCCCGAAGATATGGTTAATAGCGCCAAGCCAGATGAGCGTACCGTAATGGCTTATGTGTCTATATACTACCACAAATTTTCTGGAGCAAATAAGGCCACGATGGCTGCGAATCGCATATCGAACATTTTGAAGGTGAACCGTGAAAATGATCATCTAATTGCCGAATACGAAACACTGTCAAGCAATTTAGTACGCTGGATCTTGCTCAAACTGAAATACTTTTCATCGCGGGAGCCTCTGCATACGGTTTCTGAAGTGGAACGTCTTCAGGCTGAATCTAGAGTGTATCGTCACCAGGAGAAACCCTCCAAATTACAAGAGAAGGCCCGCTTAGAAACGACGTACAACACACTCCAAACGCGTTTGCGCCTCAGCCAAAGGTCACCATATGTTCCAGCTGTTGAGAACTACCTTTCCTCGATTTCTGGACAATGGGATCAACTGGAGAAAGCGAACAAGACATACGAGGAATGGCTGTTGGAGGAACTCCAGCGCCTGCGTCGACTTGAATACCTAATAGAGAAATTCGGAATCCGCTGTTCCACACACGAGGCATGGGCCAAGGGAAAGCCACAAAGTTTGGCTTCCACAGACTATCTCAGCTGTCATCTGCCTGATTTGCGTGCTTTGATGAAGCGACACGAGGCATTCCAATCGGAGCTGTTGGCCAACGATGACCGTGTGGAACGTATCCATGCTCTTGTCGAGGAGCTGGGGAACCTGCGGTATCACAACATGAAATCTGTCAACGAGCAGTATTCCTACATTTTCCGTGCGACAGAGGAGATCAAGCACCTATCAGATGTCCGCAAAAAGGAACTGGCCAGGTTATTGTCTGTACTGGAACAGATAGATCAGCTTCATCTGGACTTCGCCAAACAAGCCGCGCCTTTCAAAAATTGGATGGAACAAACAGAGGAAAACTGACAGGAGCTGGTATAACTGAGTAAATGAACAGAATGAAGGAGCAGCGAGGGACGTATACCAAGAAAGTGAGAAGGAAAAAAGTGATACTCTCAACAATACCGAGAGGAGACGGAAATGTAGAGTACACGAGGGTCATTTTTCATTACGCACGCGCCCTGCGTGGTACTTTGGTTTGTGTAAGGCGATAAAAACATGAGAAAGCGTGGTGTAAAAGAGATGATGAATGATGGTCGACCAATGTAGCTTTTCACTGGGCGGATACGAGTTGATTGCGGAGTACCACAAGGATCGGTACTAGGACCGCGATTATTTTTCACATATATTAACGATATCACACGCTTCATAAGCTCGCACTACCTGCTTTATGCCAATGACATCAAGGTGTGAGGGGCAATCAACTACTGGTGGATATCACAGTACTTCAAGCCGATCTCGTTAGGGTTTACGGATGGTCAGTCCAGCGTCTACTTCGATTCATTGCGGACAAATGTAGAGTGCTGCACCTACGGCACAAGTTGGTACACTCCCACCAACTCGGCAATCAGGTGCTTCAAACATCTTCTGGTGAGTAGGATCAGGGAGTTCTGGTCCAAGTCGACCTTTGATGTTCGAAGCAGACTGCCACGGCTTCTAGGAGAGGCAGACAACATGTGAGCCTCTGTAACGTGCTTTCGGAACAAATAACACTTCCGATGGCGAGACCAAAAATTTGGGTACGATACGGACGACATTTTCGTCATCCTCAAACTTTCCAAATTGGAGGAAACACACGAACTACTCAACAGTGTGTTCGATGGCATACAATTCACCAGAGAGGAGGAGAACAACGAGCAGTTACCATTCTTAGACGTTCTCATACGACGGACTGGTGCTGAACGATTGGAAACAACAGTCTACCGAAGACGGACCAGATCCTCAACTACGGCAGCAATCATCCGGCAGCCCACAAACGCAGCTGCGTGCGAACCCTTTTCAAACGAGCACAAACCCATTGTAGCACACCGCAGCTGAGACGGGCAGAAGAAGACCACCTCTTCAATCTGCTCAAGCGGAACTCGTACCCGAAAGGCTTCATTCTATGCTGCTTTGCACCAAAAAAGGTTGCTCGACACACCACAACAAATGCAACACCTGAAACTAGAACAACGCTGCCCTATATCAACGGAATCTTTGAAATGGCAGCGAGGCTTTTATTGCCTATTGGAGTCAAAATTGCACACCAGCCAACGGAAACAATCCGCAATATACTCTTCAAAATGAAAGATAAACTTAGCAAAGAGGAAGAAACTTGTGTGATTTATAATATCTGCTGCCGGAACTGCGACAAATACTACGTGGGACAGACTGGAAGAAAGCTTGGCGCAAGGCTACACGAACACAGCTTAGCCATTCGTCGCCACGATCAGAACTCCCTGATGTCAGTGCATACGGATGCCGAGAACCCACAATTCGACCTAGAGCATGCCAGCATCCTCGGAAGGACTAATAGCCGGCAAGCAGGTGAGTTCATTGGAGCCTGGCATTCAAAGCATTACTCTACCAATAAGCACTTGCCTCGCTTACTAGGCACTGCCAATCAGACCCCTGAAGCCGCACTGATGACGTTGCTTAGTCAGGCAACGAAACGTCTGCACCATAATCACTCAGCTCGGAGAACAGCTCAAAATCCGCATCCACACCCCGAGCTAGGGATATTCTCATTTATTTCAACTCAACCCTTCGATTTTTCAGCAACTTCTCGGCTCATACATACGTTCATGTGTGGAGTTTGCAATACAGGTTTGGCAGCCATAGGTAAAGAGAGCTCTCACCACCTTGGAGATACCCCAACGCTGGGCAACCAGTAATATCACAGACTTGTATAATTTGCTGTATGAAAGAAGGCTTCAAGTGCTCCGGGTCTTCAGCAGACAATATCGTCGATTGCGTGGGGCTCTCATTTTGCGTTACCAGCTTTTATGAGATCCGAGTTACACATGCCACCATTTGCTAGAGATGTCACTACAGTAATCTGAGACGTCTCCATCTCAAGCTGGCAGAGCAAAGCAGTTCTTTGGAATGCCGTCGATAGTTATTTTCCCCACACGTTTGCAAAACGTGGAACGTCCTACCTGCATCTGTCATCTGTGGTCCAACGCCCATGGAGTTCGAAGCTCGAGTTGACCGCGCACTCATTTCGCTGAATCATCTCATATGGTTCAGTGCCCACGGATAAACCCAGTTGTCTGTAAGACATTTCACTGATGGCAAAGTCACAGAATGCGATGCATCTTTTTCACTTCTTGTATGTGTTTACCGGGAGGTGGTACCGTGTTCACTAACGTCCCATTTGTCACCATTCCTTATAGACTTACAGTGGATCTACATTTTATGCTACTTATACCGTGGCGAGTATACTGGTGTGAAACTAATTTTGCTGACAATTTTTTATATGTTAAAGTTTCGCCTTGGCCATCCTAGGGACCTGTTGAGTCTTAGCATTTTTACCCGTATACGTATACGTATACTTTCTACTGTAGCTTGCTATGCAACTTCGCATCGATCAGTATCTCTCTGGGTTCTCGCCCACCTAAAAATAGTAGAATGGTATGATTTTTCGATCTGTTGTTACATAAATTCACCATCCACTTGTATTATACCGGTTAAAGCTATTGAATTTTGATAAATGCATATCCATTAAGTCTTCTATTGAATCTTTTTGGATAAATATCTATCCGTTTAAGCTCTGCTTCAAAATTAGGCTTCCAGTAACGATTTATTTGCTTTTATCTTCCCCGACAATGGTTTTCTATTAAAGTTCAGTGTTCTACCTAATTAGGGTCAGCTCTGCAAGCTCTTCTTTTTTAACTGTGAGGGAGAACCTCTACACCAGTTAAGAATTTGAATCCCTTAATTCGGAAATCATGCGCAGTAATTGGGAAGTAGATTGATTTGCAAACTAAGTTAGTCTTAATGTAGGTATGTAAACATAAGCTTTTCAGAGGGATTGCAATGCACAAATGCACCGATAAAATTACAGAAAGCCTTTGACAGTGTCATATGACACTCCTGGAATAGTCAATAAGTTTCGGGATTAACGGCTGTTTACATGCATGGTCCCAAGCCTACCTCAAAGGTCGCATGCACCAGTTATAAATAGGCTCTATAAATTCCCACTATTGGAGTCAAAAGTGACATGATTCAGAGCAGTGTGTTAGACCATTGCGCTTCACAATATTTAGTAATTATGTAACCAATACGATAACAGCGGATGAATGCACCGGGTTGATTTGCAAGTGTGAACTTTTCCATCCACTCTTCCTTGGGGATGACCTACCGCATGCAAGAATACCATGTGTGATCTAGGCATCCGTGACTTTAGCATTTCGGTAAGCAAGTTGAATTGAAAACCTCCAGCTCAAGAAGAAGTGTAAATATACACCATCGATGAGTCCCAAGAGGAGGAAATGGCCATTCGGGGCTTTTCCAGATTTTGTATTTGGTCCATCTGGCTTGTAATCTAATAGTAATGAGTTAAATAAGCCTCACCACATCCTTCTGCTCATGAGAACTTATCTTAGAATCATTCTCGGTGCGGGATTCTAGGCTGCACTTATTTCAAATGCACATTTGTATTGTGCCAGAGTATTTCTGGATTCATTGTAGACGCAGCAGAAAACGCGACCGCATGTGCCTACAGAACGTCCAGTCCTCATTCCCTAGAGTTCTCTTCAACTAAACTAGTTCACGCGTTTTAAGATTCTATAACCGAGACCACTATGGCTGAGACACATGAAGTTAGAAGTTACATTCCTTTCTATTTTGTCACGTAAAAGTGTTTCCGCGCCAAATATTTCTATTTGTTTCAAACAAGAAGGTACATACTCAATAAGGACTGCCAAGTACATAATCCCAAGGTCTGAACCGCGGACAAATATCCAAGGAAAATTCCACCTAAGCAGGTACACCGCAATTCCGAAACTACCTCCCAAATGAACGAAGACCCTGTGAATCGCAATCCCTGTACCAAAAAGAAGTTTCCAACTGTCCGACAGTATATTAACTAATGACAGTGTTGGGAGCAAATTGAAATGAAAAAGTATCATTTGGGGAGGAGACCAAGATATAGATATGCTGATCTTACGGATACACTAAGTGTTTTAGGTGCAATGCATTTACTTGGCTGATTCTCCCGGTGAATCACATTAGAAAATATGAAAATTTTATAAAAATCCACCACTTTTCTTTAACTAATTCCCTTACCTTTTTTAATCACAAAAGCCTACCTCACAGTTACACCAATAAGTGTGGGTTGCAGAGGAAGCGTAAACTGAGACCGATCAAACCATTTTTGCTTCCACTCTTCGTTTTTTATTTACTCAGTCACGCCTACCTTAAAGCTATTGTAAAATGTGTGAACTTGTAAGGAAACACTAACTGAATGTATCAATGTTCATTCCTTTTACCAATCGTTCATTTTTTACTCAGCCACGCTTTTCTAGTGGCCCTCATGCATACTTGTCAGGCGGAAGTGAGAAGCTAACCGATTCTGCTTAATACATCTTTATTCCTATTTCCCATTCTGCTCTTGCATTTTCCTCTTACTGACTTATGCCTAACGTACAGTCAAACCAAAACATCTAAACCGATTGGATTCTGACAACCATATCAGCCTTAGTTACAAATAATCTATCTCCTATTATGGTTGTCTCGACCTATAAGTACAACCGCTAAACTAAAAATAAATAAATACCTACGACTTTGACAATCACTTTCAGAGCACCACCGTGTGCAGGAAATTTTTTGCATAAACTAATATCCATCTGTTATAGTTTAAAACTTGTGTTTTAATGTTTCGCTTATCACCACGCAAATGCTCATAGTAGAAGAAACAATGTTCCTTCCGTACACAGAGGTCCATATCAGGACGCCCCGTAGTAGTATAAACTCAGTTAAATCTTTGAACTGAAGAACCAGCACTGATAAAAGCAACGCATCCGCTTCTGCGTATTTCATGCGAA